ACACATGCTACATCGTGAATTAACCTAGAACACATTGTGCTGAGTGAAGTAAGCCAGACATAAAAAGGCAAAGGTGCATGATCCCATCTATATGAGGTACCTAAAGTAGTCAATTTTATATAGAAGAAAGCAGAATCATGGTTACCAGGGTGTGGGGGAGAGGGCTGAATGGGAACTTATTGTTTAATACGTACGGAGTTTCAGTTTGGGAAGATGAAAATGTTCTGGAGGTGGATAGTGGTGATGGCTGCACAACAGTGTGATACTTAACACCACTGCACTGCATACCCGAAATGGTTAAAATGGTAAAATGTTATGTTAAATCAAATTCTACTTTGATTTAAAAATGGAAAACAAGTTACCTTCTCTGTGAGCCCTTCCTCACCACCTCATTATAAACTTCAAACCTCTTCCCAGTCTGACATTCTTCACCCCAACCTTCTTCTGCCCTTTCTTCTCTCCCCTTAGCACCACCACCACCAAACATGTATTTCTCTATACATTTAGCTTACTGTCTCCCCCACAGCCTCGAATGTAAGCCCCTGAGGGCTTAAATCCCCCTGCCTCCAAAAGCACCTGGCATCCATTAAACATTCAGTAAATATTTGCTAAATGAATGATCACTATTATGCCAGAAGGACTCGAGCTCGGGGAGGCTGGAATCAAAATTAGCCACTCACGGGCTATGGTTGGAATCCATGAGTAAGACGGTAAGCCTGGGGCTGTAAGGTATCTATTATGAGAGAAGAAAATATAAACCTGAAAGACACTCCAAAAAAAGGATCTATAAGATTTGAAAACAGATTGGAAAAGAAATGGAGCAGGAAAATGTGTCAGGATGGGCTCTATTTTGAGACAAGAAGTATGGCGGCACCAGTAAGAGAAATGGGGACAGGAAGCCAGTTTCAATAAAAATATAGTCCAGCACACAGCTGACAAGTCAGAGCTGGAGGAGGGACTCTGTGACCCCTGCCCAAGGATGGTTAAAACTAAGAAAGTAATGAATTCACCGAAAAAGTGCTTGAGAAGAACAGCAAAGGATGGAGGACATGACTTTGGAGAACACGCACATCAAGAGTCAAGGAGGAAAAAAAAGGAAAGAATGAAAACAGAATTAGGATGACATAAAAAGCTGCAGAATCACAGAAGCTAGAGGAAGAGTTCTGAAGAAGAAAAAAGGGGGAGGAGAGGAATTAGAAAGGAAAAAAAAATGCTACTAAATTCATCAAGGAAGTTACTGATAACCTTAGAAACGGGTTTTAAATACTGACAAACCTTTTAAGCAATACAATTATTTTCAGAATTGTGATGTTTATAAAGATGGAGTCCGCAAATCAAATGTAAATGTTTTTGTCTGAAGGATAACCTTTGGGAGGGAAGACATGGGGACATCCAAGACACTGGCTAGAAGAACAGCCCACTGGGAAGTGCTCAGGGTGCAAGAGGGAAATAACACCAAGAAATTTCCATTTAAGATCAGCTGCACTTTTCCATCATTATTTGTAAGAACCCCCCTACCTATCTCCTCTACTTACCCAAGCATCGTTAGATTCTGTTATTTCAAAGCTACTGTCATCTGTGGGTTTCACATGTGTCCCTCCTATCTGCCTTTCCTGCATCTAAACTCCCTTTTACAACGTCCAGTCAGTAAGCTCATGTCATTGTGACTCAAAACTCCTGCTCAAAACCTAGCAATGGCTTCCCATGTCACTCAGATCAAAGCCAGTGGTCTCAAAGGGGTCTCTAAGGCCCTCTAAGACCCACACTCTGCTGCTCCCACACATACTTCCTCCTCTTTTCCATATGGCTCATCTAGAGCAGCTACACTGACCCTCTCCTTTTTGTAGGTCACTCATAAAGGTACTGCCTCAGGGCCTTTGCACTTGCTTTTGCTCCCTGCCCCCAGCCTCCTTCAAGTGTCTGTTCAAAGGCAGGTCACCTTATCAGAGACTTCTGCTGACTACCTATATAAAAGTTCATCTATAATACTCTCAATTCCCTATGGATATATTTATATATCTGTCCTCCTCTATTTTCTTTCTTTTTTGTTTCTTTTCCTTATTTCTTTTTTTACTTCCTTATTTACTTGTTTATTTATTTTTACGGTACTTATCAGCACCTAAGACATTGTATTTGTTCATGGTTTGCTAACTGCCCTACATAACACGAGTACATAAAAGGTACTCAGTCAATGTTGAATTATTATTTTTTTTTAAATTTGAGACAGAGAGAGAGGACACAAGCAGAGGAGAGGAGCAAGAGAAAGAGAGAGACAGAGTTCCAAGCAGGCTCTATGCTCAGCGCAGAGCCAGGCTCGATACCATGACCCTGATATCATGACCTGAGCCAAAATCAAGAATTGGATGCTCAACTGACTAAGCCACCCAGATGCCCCAATGTTTGCTGAATTTTTAAATCCAAGTTAATGACTTCCACTATGACTAGACAAAACTGTTTCTAACATACAGCTCAGTCACCATCTGCATACTTAGAATAGCCTCTCTGTCTACCATACTTTCTTTACTCTATAAAAGCAATCTAACTGGCTGTTTTCAGAGAAAATTTTCCCAGGCTACCTATGTGCCCTTTCGACTGTGAGGCAGAGCAGTTTACTTATACTTTAGACACAATCGTGAAATATCTGCCTACACTAGACTAGAATAGCAGGCTGGGGGTGCCTGAGTGGCTCACTGGGTTGAGAGTCCAACTCTTGATTTTGGTTCACGTCATGATCCCAGGGTTGTGAGATCAAGCCCCATGTCAGGCTCTGTACTGAGCATGGAGCCTGCTTAAGAGTCTCTTGCTCCTTCTCTCTCTGTCTTTCTCTCTTTCTTCTTCTGTCCCTCTCCCCCACTCACACGCTCTCTTTAAAAAAAAAAAAAAAAAAAAGACTGGATAGAAGACCTGTGGAGACAGGTGTATTGCTGGCACAAATTAACAGCTCTCAGCCTGAGAGGTAATAAGAAAACACATCCACACACCCACATGTACATACATGCACACATACATTTCTGGATTTTTAGAATAGCAAAAACCCTAAGAGTTTAAAAAATCTCACTGTTTAATGAACATTAATCAATGTTGATAATAATGGTTCCAACTTATCAGAAAAAGATTAGATTGGGTCCATCAGCATCCACTAAGTAGCAATGAAGCTGAAAATTTCCCTTTTAGAATTTAAATGGAAACCTCAAGCTAATCTAGAAAATTCTGACATGAAACATGTTTTCTGATCATGTTTGCCGGATTCCTCTAAATCTATCTAGGGCTACTACTAGAGATAAATAAGAAACACAAGGTGTGCCTGGGGAGGCTCAGTCTTTAAGCATCTGACTGCAGCTCAGGTCATGATCATGGTCTGTGGGTTCGAGCCCTACACTGGGCACTGCACTGATAGCTCAGAGCCTGGAGCCTGCTTCAGATTCTGTGTCTCCCTCTCTCTTTGCCCCTGCCCTCTTCACACTCTCTCAAAAATAAATAAACGTTAAAAAATTAAAAAAAAAAAAAGAAACATTATATAACTAAGTACTCTAAAAAATAACATCTCACATGCAATACTTTCAAGTTTTCAAAGAAATATTTTTATATATTTTAAGAAACTCCCACAGAAACTCTGTGAGCAGGCAGGTAAGAAGCAGAAAAATAAAGGGATGTGCCCACTCTCAACTTAATACACACTATGGACGGCTGTTTCAGTGCTGGCAATAATGTGGGGACCCAACAGACAATGCCCCCTCTCTTAGGATCAAGGGCTTTCTTAACCATTTTTTTTTTTTTTTTTTGCCCAAAGTGGGGCTTGAACTCATGACCCTGAGATCAAGAGGACCAAGGGGGAGAAGAAGGGAGGAAATGGTGGGAGAAAGGGAGAGAGGCAAACCATGAGAGACTCTTGAATGCTGACAAAAACTGAGGACTGATGGATGTGGGGGGAGGGGGGATGGGCAGGGAGGAGGGCACTCGTGGGGATGAGCACTGGGTGTTATGTGGAAACTAATTTGATAATAAACTATTTGTAAAAAAATAAAATAAAATAAATAAAGATCAAAAAAAAAAAAAAGAGTCACATGCTCTTCTGACTGAGCCAGCCAGGTACCCATCTCTTACCATTTTTATCTTAAACCTGAAATACTTGCTACTGTTTGACTATAGGAGTCTATAAGATAATCTCTACTCTAGCACCAATTTTTACTTATTTTATGTAGTGTCTTCCTATTTTATGGTGCTGTTCTACAAGGAACATTGTGACTTTTGAGTCTTCCATCAAAAAATTTTAAAAACCACTGTACTAATACCATTGCATATGTGTCAAATTGATATGCCAGATTACCCACAGCAGAAGTTTTGTGAAGTAAGAGAATGGAAGCCATCTAAGTGTTCTCTATGGGAGATTTACTAAGCAGGAGGAATATTAAGCAACTGGTATAAAGAAGGTGGCAGGTCTCCGTGCCCCAGCGTGGGACAATCTTTACAACATATAGTGAGTGAAAAGAGCACAGTTTGGAACAGTAAATGCGGTGCCAGCTTTCATGCGGAGCAGTGCAGATGGGAGGAAGGATGTGCATGTTTGTAAAGGCCAAGGGCACCAACGGAAAGATACAAACTGGGTGGCCCTGGGTACTTGGGGGACAGGGCAGGAATGAGGACTTACATTCTGCCAAGTACCCTATCATACCCGTTGACTTTTTGTAGTAGGTGAATATAAATAAAGTAAAATTACTGTAAAGTCAAAGTGAGAATAATAATGTTCACCTGAAAGAACTGTGGGACAGATAAAGACACTGTATGTGAAAACACGCTGGAGACAAAAAGCAATGGGCAGCTGTCAGTCATGACAGCTCTGGGGAAAGAAATACTCTTTAAGTTTCCTTCCTTCCTTCCTTCCTTCCTTCCTTCCTTCCTTCCTTCCTTCCTTCCTTCCTTCCCTCCCTCCCTCCCTCCCTCCCTCCTTCCTTCCTTCCTTCCTTCCTTCCTTCCATCCAAAGTCCTTTATTGGGCCAGCNGGGCCAGCAAGGCCGGGAGCCGCCCTTGGAGTGGGGTCTCGGCCCCAGTCCGGAGTCTCCGGGTCTGTGACATCCCTGCCCCTGGTCCTGGCTGGGGCAGGTGGCCTCCTCTGACGGGCTACTTGATTCGCTCCTTCAGGTATTCCCAGCCCTCCCTAGAGTACTCGCAGACCTTGCAGGGGGTCGCTGACAGAGCCAACATCACCTTAATGATGCCTGAATTCCTGGAGTCGCGGACGTGAAAATTAAACTTGGGAGGGGCTGGGTGCTGGGGCATCTTCAGATCGGTCTGTTCACACACGTACTGGCTGAACTGGTACGTGGCTGGGGCCACTGCCTCCTCAGCCTTCTGAAGGACAGCCTGGCTCTTGTCACTTGGCCCCAGCAGGTCCTGGTCATACACCAGGTAGACGACACCCCCAGCCACACTGCCCTTGATGAGGAACCTCATCAGCGACCACCCTCGGGACACCAAGGTCCCTCGGCTGCGCCGCTTTTTAAGTTTTTCAATTTCATATTTCAGTGCTCTTGACATCACGTTCAAAACACAAAAATACCTTTAGATACTGCAACCAGTATTCAAGACCTGTAAGGACTGGCCTTTGGCCCTCTTGGGGGCGGGGGTTGTTTGAGGTTTTGTTTTTATTCTGTTTATTTTGTTTTGTTGTCTTTGTTTCTTTATTGTTTGAACACACAGGCCTCTGCCGCCATCCACAGGCCCTGAAGCAAGACTGAGCACAACCTGGAAGGGCCAAAGGAGGCTGCATTTCTGCCCCTCTGGCTAGCCTTTCGGGGGTAAGCCTTTCCGTGTTTAAGCATATTAAAGACCTGGTGATGCACTACTGTTTTTCTGAAGCTTTGACTGCAAGTAGACAGGGTTAGCACAGACTTGACTTTTCCTAAATAACATTCAGAAATCTGAGAGTCAAACTATAATAAGGAAAAACCTGTATTTCTTGGTTAGTTTGTTCCAAAGAAGCACATTTTACTCAGGAGAGTTTACTCCTCGTGAAACACTGTGCATCACAGCAGTGAGTGAATCAAAGCACAGGGAACGGTAATATTCCAGGGGACTTGGCGTCTGACGACGCATCTTCCACCCAGCTTACCAACGAGGGCTGCTGAAAACCCGCCCATCATCTCATTTAACAGACACTGAGCAACCGTTCTTTTTTAACACATATCTATGTGCCGTTATGGCAGGTCAGATACATGTTCTAACTTAAATATTAACCACTTTGATCTGCATAATAATCCAAAGAGACAGACACCATTTTTTGTCTTCATTCATCCAAACAGAAGGATAGGGAGGTTCGGGAACAAAGCCCAAGGTCAAAGAGCTAAAAGTGGGGGCTGAGGCAGTATGACTCCAGGCTCTTAGCCACTGAGCTCTATAAAAAAACCCCACAAAGGTAAATACTAGGAATTGAAGGGAAACAGAGTACACCAACCTATAACAGGCCACTCTGGAGTACTGATTATTCTGAATTAAAGTTACTTAGAAGCAGCCAGTGCAAGAGAGGACACTCTGACCTCCTCTGTCCCCATGAAAGCAGGCAATAAATCTCCCATATGAAAGGTACCCTCTTTGTCCCAGTAGGAAGAAAGATGTCCTTATCATGGGAGAGAGAGAGTTTAAAGCAGACAAGATTGTATAAACAAACCTTGTTACTTCACTAATTTACTACCCCAACGCAAACCCCTCTGTCTTGCCAATTCTTCACAAATGTATTGATTCTTTGCCTAAAAGGTATAAAAGCTGCCTGCTTTAGTCACTTCTTTGAGTCTCAGATTTTTATGAGCTCCTGTAAGCATAAAATCAAATTTGTTTTTCTCCTATTAATCTACCTTATGTCAATGTAATTATTAGGCTAGTCAAAGAAGCTGGAAAGGAACATGGGGAAAGTTTCTCTCTCCTACAGATCTACTGGGAGACAAGACAGACTGATCTCTACGTTCTTGCCTGCTGACCTCCTAGTCAGCAGGAAAGGACTGGTAAAAACCAAACAACATGTAACAATTTAATTACAATGGCCCCAAAACCACCATGGAAGTGATAAAGTATTATAACATAGAGGGGTAAAGGATGATGGAAAACATTCACAACGTTCTCACCAACTCCTCACGAAATCCTGGAAAACAATGAATGATATTCTCATCGCAAAGATGGTGCCCTTGTGGCTGAGGGGGGAGCCATGCCAGCCAGGGCAAGAGTTCCCAAGGTTCAACCAGCACCACCTGGTCGTCAGGAACAAGCTAATTGACTTTCTTCTATCCCTTCCACAGTGGTGTTCTTTTCACATCATATTAACTGAATCTCTTCTGCATTTTCCACAGAAATGAGAGGTTTGTCAGATGCAGAAGCCTTAACAATACCATGACAACAGTCACTTAATACCAAGCACTCTGCTCACAACAGGGCTGTAGTATACATTACTTAATGGTATTCATCTAAAAGTGATTCCTCTCACCTGTTGCCGGCATCTGCCCTGGGCTGGTGGCTGGAAAGCTGAAAGAGTGAAGAAGTATAAGGTGAAGTGTAAAAATAACTACTGACCTCATTACAAGAGGCAGGCCAGGTGTTTTCACAAGTTATCTTACTAAGCTGGTTAAAAGCGATCAGATGTTTCAGGTAAGATGGATCTGAGAGGTTGTTGGGGTGGACTGAAACACAAACTCTTTCTCAGTAGAATATCGTAATAGAGTATGGGATATGGGGCGTGGGGCCAGACGAGAGCTAGTAGTCAACACAGCACAGCACAGCACAGTGTATAAACTTGTGAAATCACTATGTTGTGTGCTTGAAACTAGTGTGACCCTGTGGGTCAATTATATTCAAATTTTAAAAATAAATAAAAATTTTAAAATATCCTTGAAAAAAAATAATGCAACCACCCAATTTCAGAACAGAAATTTTGCAGTCATTAAAATTTATGTTTGCAAGGATTTCCAATGGAGAAATATTTATGTTCTAATAATATTTACATATCCAGAAAAAGAAAAGTATGAGTTCCTTTACCAAATAATTTCATGCATAAGACATTTGTGGGATCACACAAGAAGGAATGGTATTACTCATGGTTTCCACGAGGGAGTGAAAATGAAAAGATGGATAAAAGGATATTTTATCATTCAGTTACACCCTTTGCAATTTTTAAAATTAAAATTACATTTAGGAAGCATTTTTAAATTATGTGTAAAAATGGTGAAAATGCTCAAGTTATAAAGTTATCTTATGTGACAGAACAAAAGTTTTTTTTTTCTTCATTCTAATGTATTTATTTTGAGAGAAAAAGAGTGCAAGCAGGGGGAAGGGCAGAGACAGACACAGAGAGAGACTCCCAAGAATCCCAAGCAGTCTCTGCACCATCAGCGCAGAACCCAACACGGGGGCTTGATCTCACGAACTGTGAGATCATGACCTGAGCTGAAATCCGGAGTCAGAAAACCAGCACCCTAGAAGAAAAGTTTTTAAATATGAAACAATTTCAACTATGTCCCCCTCCCAAGAAAAGAAACCCTAATGGCTCAGTCAGTGGAGCATGCAGCTCTTGATCTTGGGGTTATAAGTTTGAGCCCCATGTTGAGCGCAGAGATTACTTAAATACAAATCTTAAGGAAAAAAAGAAAACACAAAATTCCTGAAACACTATTTAGCCTGGGGGTCAGTTTTTGCTCTTTTACTGTGTATACTTCCTGACTGCTTGAAAAATTTACAATAAGCATTTTTCACTTTCATGATAAAAAAAAAAAATCCCAGGACTTAATAAGAACAAATAGAGTATAGAAAATATACTAATATAAGTGATAGAATTATAGGAGTTGCTTTTGTCACATTCTAAAGTCAAGAATAAAGAAGCCAAGATTGCCACTCTAAAATGAGTTAAGTTCAAAGTAAACAAACACTAAAAGACCATCTTCTGGCTGAAATACAGAGAAATGTGGGATCAAAGTCCTAGTTCAAGGAGGGCAGAATCACACCTTAATTTTAAATACTTTTGACCTCAACTTCTTTTTCTCCTTTTAATCTTACAATCTTCTTTGACACATGTGTCAACATTGTCTTGCGGTCATTTGAGAAAATAAGGTGATAGTGGCAATTAGCTGTAAGTCAGGTCACAGGCTCCAACCTGTGCCACCAGCCGCTACTCTGAGACTGCACGGCTCTTCTCTTACCTGGTTGGCACTGTTACTCTCCCAAGTCCTTTTGGACTTAAGTGTTTCATCTCAGAAAACACTGCCTGGCTCTACAGAGTATAAATACAACTTGCATCTTACAAAAGGAAAGAAGCTACTACCTTAAGTTACCTTGATGTCAAACTGTCATTTATTAACAAATTTTGGATCTTCTTTGCAAGCTATTTTGGAAAATACATGGGCACCATGTTCACTACCATCATGCATTCTCCCCTCTGAGGGTAGAGATTCTTTGTGAGGTGGAAACAAAATAGAAGGGTTCTGTTTCCTCTAACAGGGTGAGGGTGGTAAGCACACTACAACCCCCACCCCCCACCTCAGACTTGCTTTTTACAAGTAAAAACTCTGGACAGGATACAAAAAGCATCAAGCTGAGGACTCTGCAAAGTAAACAAAAAACAGTGAAAGGTCGAAGAGAGTCAAAACTTAGAGAAGCAACCGAAAAGGGGGGTGAACTTCTCAGATTTTTATTATTATTGTTTTATTCTGGCAGTTCTGTTCTGGGGCAGGACCCAGTCAGAGTTCCACGGCAGAGCAGCGAAGCAGCAGTACAACAGTGCGAACAGAGAAAACTCCAAGTGAAACCCCTGTCTGGTCTGAGGAACTTGGAAAAAGTATCCCTGCAGAGTAAGGAGGGACTCATGCAGAGAAGGAATAAAGAGAAGAGAATTCCCTAATTCTATACAAAATCTTGCATAATTCCCGGCCTTACCCTGAGCAAGGAGCATAGCAAAGGCGTTATAAACTGAACTGAGATTAGAGCCACCAGCCTTGGAATGTGAACAGAAATGGAGTTCGAATCTAACTGGGTTCACTGCCTGCAAAAATCAAACAAAAAACATTGTTCAGAAGATTAAGGACGCAGAATCTACACAGCATAACATATACAATGTCCGGGCTACAATCCAATATCATTCCACATACAAAGAACGAGGAGAACATGACTAGTTCTCAAGGGCAAAAAAAACCAATCAGATTCTTTTTTTTTTTTTTTAATTTTTTTTAATGTTTTATTTATTTCTAGGAGAGAGAGAGAGAGACAGCGTGAGCAGGGGAGTGTCTGAGAGAGAGGGAGTCACAGATTGAAACAGGCTCCAGGCTCTGAGCTGGCAGTCAGCACAGAGCCCGACGCTGGGCTCGAACCCACGAACCGCGAGATCATGACCCAAGCGAAAGTCGGACATTTAACCGACTAAGCCACCCAGGCGCCCCAAAACCAATCAGATTCTAATCCTGGGATGACCCAGAGGAAAGACAGAAGTTCTCAGAAGAGAACTGGAAACTAGGTTGGGGGGGAAAGGCAGGGGGGTGGGGGTGGGGCATCTGGGTATTGTTTAA